CCTCTACCCAGGGGGACAGCTTGAGGCTCTGTCTCAAAAAAAAAAAAAAAAAATGTGTTGGCCCAGCACCTGTAGCTCAAGTGGCTAAGGCACCAGCTACATACACCTAAGGTGGCGGGTTCGAATCCAGCCTGGGCCCGCCAAACAACAATGACGGCTGCAACCAAAAAATAGCCAGGCGTTGAGGCGGGTGCCTGTGGTCCCAGCTATTTGGGAGACAGAGGCAGGAGACTAGCTTGAGCCCAGGAGTTGGAGGTTGCTGTGAGCCGTGATACCACAGCACTCTACCCAAGGTGACAGCTTGAGGCTCTGTTTCAAAAAAAAAAAATGTGTTTATAAAATGGAAGACATCAGCATGTTTAAATGCTAGTGGGGGAAAGACTTGGGGGAAGGAGGTAGAGGACTAAACGGGGACAGAGCTGGATAAACCAAGTGCAGGTGGGGGGTCTCAACAAGGAACATGGCAGAGGGGAATCACAGGCAGGAAGGAAATGAAGGGATATTGAGGACGTGAGTTACAGGAGAGGAACGGGACTGGAGGCCTCCTGCGCATCTGAGCTGGGCTGGACAGTTAGGCAGCCATGGGCACAGTCTGCTGGGACTTGGGTTGACAAAGGAGAGTCTGAGGGATAAGTGTCCCACAGAGAAGACTAGGAGTAGGGGCCCCATAGTAGGAACTGGGGCTCCTTAGAGGCTGTGGACCCTGGGCCCAGGGACACAGGCAGGGGTGAGGCTCCTCAGTGGCCATCCCTGCTATAAATTGGAAGACTCTGCCTCATTACTGGGGTCCTTGCTGAGGCTGCAAGTGAGGCGTGTATGGTAGCCAATGGGAGGGGTCTTCCCTGCCCCATGTTCTGGTAGAAAAACCTGCTGGGTGACAGGCTTGTCTCCGAGGTTTTCCTTTAGCTTTGTCAATACAAAGAGACCACAAAGATCCCACACCTGAGGACAGGCCCCTGTGAAAGACGAGACCAAGAAACTCAAACAGAACTCAGAGACCAGAGACAATCTGGAGCCAGAGCTGCTGTGATTCTATACAGAGGGCACAGTCTCCATGTGACAGCATGATAAGACCAGTGCCCCAAGACAGGACGAAGCAGTAGGTTCAGGAGCAGTTAAGTGGACGTGAAAAACTTTAAAAGATTGGAAGATAAGTTGGGAAATCCTCCCAGGAAGTATAACCAAAAAGAGATAGAGAATGGCAGAAAAATATCAAAATCTAAAGATTATTCCAGTAGCTTAGGATGACAAAAAGATATTGAGGAGGAAATTACCAAGGAAAGTAAGGGCTGGGCGTGATGGCTCACACCTGTAATTCTAACACTCTGAAAGGCTGAGTAGAGTGGATAACTTGAGCTCATAGGTTTGAGACCAGTCTGAACAAGAGTGAGACCATTTCTCTAAAAATATCCGGGCTTTGTGACAGGTGCCTGTAGTCCTAGCTACTTGGGAGGCTGAGGCAAGAGAACACTTGGCCCCAAGAGTTTTAGGTTGCTGCGAGCTGTGACACCAGGGTACTCTACCAAGAGTGACAAGTGAGAGGCTATCCCCCCCCCCCAAAAAGGAAAGTAACAAAATGTCCCTGAACTAAAGTCTTCAGCATGAGAGAGGCCACCACATGCCAGAAGGGCCCTGCTGAGAAGGAATGGGTTCCCACCAAGGAGCATCATTGTGAGTTTGGGCTGATGGGGACAGAGGGACTGCCCATGCACCTCTGAGGCAGGTAGCTCTGGCCTGTCAGCAGTGTGCCAGACTAGAACAGCCCAGAGCAAAGCTTCAGCTTCTGAGGGAGGGTGCTTTTCCATCTATATTGCCAGTCCCCTGTGAGGGAACAGTCAGGCTGTCTTCAAACAAGAAGGTCATGGAAATTACCTTCCTGAGCCCTTGGGAAGAAGTTCTCTATCAAAAGCAGCAGGAGAGAGAGGGCCTGTCACTAAGAAAGTGCTAGGGCTCGGTGCCTATAGCTCAACCGACTAAGGCACCAGCCACGTACACCTAAGGTGGCGGGTTCGAATCCCTAGCCCGGACCCGCCAAACAACAATGATGGCTGCAACCAAAAAATAGTCGGGCATTGTGGCAGGCGCCTGTGGTCCCAGCTACTTGGGAGGCTGAGGCAGGAGACTCACTTGAGCCCAGGAGTTGGAGGCTGCTGTGAGCTGTGATGCCATGGCACTCTGCCCAGGGGGACAGCTTGAGGCTCTGTCTCAAAAAAAAAAAAAAGAAAAAAGAAAAGAAAGTGCTAGAGAGAGCCTGAGTAGACAAGAGGCAGAGCATCTTTGCTGTCATGGTATGATTCCTGAGAAGATGAGGGGTGGTCCAGAGCAAGTGGACAGAGCTATGCACCCGATGGGGCTAGCATCTCTTCCCCCAGAGAGGTCTTCAGGCTCTGCTGTTGCCTCCATGCTTGTCCACAGAAAGGGTGATGGTTAGGAAATGAAGCCTGAATGCATAGGATGATGCTAGAGGTTTAAGGTAAAAGAGAAGGTAAGAAGAAGACAGGTCTCTGCCTAACAGGGAAGCTGCTGCAGAGGCAGATGTGAACCAGGTGGTTTTGGTCATTTGGACCCATCTGAGGAGAGGGACAGGCCCACTAGAGCAGAGGGAGCCTGGGGAGTGACAGGTGGGGGTGAGGGTCCCCATGGGTAAGGGGGACATCGGAGATCAAGTCCAGAGCACAGGAGGAGAGGGGGTCCAGGCACAGCTCAGCACAATAGGGAGGGGAGTTGTGCAGGAGAGGAAAGCGATGTCTCAGCCCTCTGAGGGGGGTCCTGGATGGGCACCCTTTACCAGCCTCTGTACCATGGCCACACCTCACTGAAGGAGTTGCCTCCGAGCTCCTGTGCATGGTAATGGCTTTGAGGGAAGCTTCCTTCTCCTTTGTGACTTTGTATTTTCCTAAATTTCTTGCCATCATAATAGTATATATGTTTTTAAAAGGTTCTGTTCTGGATGGTGCCTGTGGCTCAAAGGGGTAGGGCACTGACCCCATTTCTGGAGGTGGTGGGTTCAAACTCTGCCCCAGCCAAAAACTGAAAAAAAAAAAAAAAAAAAACCCAGTTCTGTTCTTATTTTAATAACAAACCTCTCAAGGAGCAGGAGGCCTTGGCATCCTGGGGAGGGACTGCTCAAGCCTGGAGTGCCGGGCTGTTGGGCCTCCTGTGGGGTAGGGGTGGGCCCTGGTCTTGCCAGGCTCTGGACCAACCCTCCCTCCCCCCTCTTCAGCCTTTAGGTCAGACATTCTCTGTTTTCTCCCTTCTCTGAGACCCCTCCCAGCAGAGTCGAGAGCGCTGACCTGCTAATTTGCTGACTTGCTAACCTGCTAACTCACTAACATGATGACGCATTAACTCACTAATGCACTAACTTGCTGTCCTGCTAACTTGTTGCTTCACTAACTCGCTGATGCACTAACTCACTAATGCACTAACCCACTGACTTGCTATCTCACTGACTAGCTAACCCACTAATGTGCTAGCTTTCTGATGTGCTGACTCGGGTCCTCTGCCTGCAGAACTTTTGGAGATTTATATTCCGGAAGAGCCTGCCCTCCACTTCCCTTTGTCAGATGGACTTTGCCGTCCTGGGCCTTGGGGACTCCTCATATGCCAAGTGAGTAGTAGACAGGGCAGATGTGTTGGCCAGCACTTGGACCAGAATAGGGACAGTTTTGGGGGGTTTTTTGCAGTTTTTGGCGGGGCCAGGTTTGAACCTGCCACCTCTGGTATATGGGGCCGGCCCCCTACTCCTTTGAGCCACAGGTGCCGCCCAAACAGGGACAGTGTTTAAGGTCAAACAAGAGGTGTGCTGCAGAGGGTCAGGGACCCAGCCCAAGGTTGGTCTCTGCAGACCAGATAGCCCCTGAGTGGCACTGACTTTGTATTCTCACCATAGACGTTGCTCTGTGGTCGCCCAGGCTACATGTATGTGGGGCCCAGATTGAAAGTGAGTATGGCAACAGAGTGCCACAGCTGGACCAGGGGTGTCACCACAATCCCTGACAAAAGTCAAGAAAGACCTACCTGGCACTGTTCCCCAATTTTACAAAAATAGATACAGTGAGATATTTATGACTCAGGGTGCTCATGGAGAAGGACACAGCATGTACTCCTGCTATGCCTAAAGGATACTCTCCTCCCCCTCAGTGGGACTGCCTCTGGGTTTTCTTTATCAACATTTGCACAGCACACATCTGCACCTTCAGCAGGAGTGGTGTTGCTTTGCATGGTTTCCTAAGGAAATAAGAGGTTTTCTTTCAAGGGTATAGATGGCAACTTAAGACACCAAAATGTTGAAAAACTGCCTGACTGTCCACGTAGGGACTACTGAGCACTGCATGGCAAAAGCTATGTGAATGGTGGGGTTCTTAATCACTGTAGATACAAGGGTAGAAAATGGGGAGAGGGATGGCAACATCACACATTTCTGTTCCAGATTTTATTCTGTGTAATGTGATACTTGTTCATGTTGGTGATGTACATGGGCAGGAAGGTAGGTGGGAGGGTGGGAGTCCCAACTGCTGATAGCATTCCTGGAAATCAGTGTTACAAGGATCCAATTGTGCCTTTGTAAGCCAAAGTGAGAAACAGCTGACCCCCCGCCCCCAGAAGATGCCTGGTCACTCATCCCTACGGACCCTAAGACCACATACCTCCCCAGCGCACACTCATTCCCCATGAGCAGTAGACTTGCTGTTCAGGGCTGTGGTGGCCACCCTGGTCTTGGAAGCCTCTGGCATGCAGTGGCTCTGCCCCTCCTAGGCTGCAGCCAGCATGCAAGCATGAAATGTCTGTGCCCATAGAAGGCCTGCCCAGGCTCTGCTCTGGCCAGTGTGGTGGGCCAGGCCTGGCTTCACTATCTCTACAGGTACAACTTCGTGGCCAAGAAGCTGCACCGCCGACTGCTGCAGCTTGGGGGCAGTGCCCTCCTGCCGCCCTGCCTCGGGGATGACCAACATGAGCTGGGGTGAGTGTGCAGGCAGGTGGTGCCTCCATGGCTCTGCCCTGCAGGAAGCAGGTCTGCTCAGGTGGGCACACTCCCTCCTAGGCCAGATGCTGCTATTGACCCTTGGCTGCGAGACTTGTGGGTAAGAGTGCTGGAGCTCTACCCAGTGCCTCAAGGCCTCACTGTGATCCCTGCTGGAGTCCCGTGAGTATAGCCTTGGGTCAGCCCACAATGGTGCAGCAGACCCAGCCTGGCCTTGAGGACCTCACCCTGGGCCCCTCCAAGGTGTGAGTATGCAGCCCCTGTGGAGGGGAGTCCCTGGTCTGACACCCAACACCCTCCCTGCAGCCTGCCCTCCAAGTTCACCTTGCACTTCCTTCAAGAAACTCCTAGCACATGTTCTGAGGAGCAGAGGGTGGCCAGCCCAGACTCCCAAGGTCCCCCATCAGAGTTGCAGCCCTTCTTTGCACCCATGGTCTCCAACCGGAGGGTCACTGGACCCTTGCACTTCCAGGACGTTCGGCTGATTGAGTTCGACATCACAGGCTCTGGGATCAGGTGAGGCCCTGAGCACAGCCCAAATGCCAAGCTGGCAGTAGGGTCTTGTAGGTCCAACAGGGTGTAGAGGTGCCCTAGGAAGCCAAGGAGAGCAGGGTGAGGATGGACTGTGGACCTGGGGTCCAGAGGGTCTGCCAAAGCTGAGTAGAAGGTAGCTTGCAGAGAGTAGGCTGGGACCAGGCTGCAGAGGAGATGGCTTCCATCTGAGGACCATAAGCCCTCTCTGTAGTCTCCCCTGAGCCCCCGTGTCCTTTTCTCACAGCTTTGTGGCAGGCGACGTGGTGCTGATTCAGCCCTCAAACTCAGCTGCCCACATCCAGCAGTTCTGCCAGGTACTGGGCCTGAACCCTGACCAGAGCTTCTTGCTGCAGCCGCGGGAGTCAGGTGAGCCCTGGCCATCTGCCCTTCCTCATGCCCTTAGAACCCCACTAAGGGCCCAGCCCAAGTCCCTGGGTGTCTCCCACTCACTGTTACAGGTGTCCCCTGCCCCTCAAGGCTGCCCCAGCCCTGCTCCATCTGGCAACTCGTGTCCCAGTACCTGGACATCACCAGTGTGCCTCGCCGCTCCTTCTTTGAGCTCCTGGCCTGTCTGTCTGTCCATGAGCTAGAAAGGAAGAAGTTGCTGGAGTTCAGTTCTGCCCAGGGCCAGGAAGAGCTCTATGAGTACTGCAACCGGCCTCGCAGGACCATCCTGGAGGTGAGGTGGACAGCCGGGAGGGCACCAAGCCCTGACTCCTGGCCATGCTGTGGCCATGCTGAGACTCGCTTCCCAGGTGCTCTATGACTTCCCACACACAGCTGGCACCATCCCACCAGACTACCTGCTGGACCTCATCCCCCCAATCCGGCCACGAGCCTTCTCCATCGCCTCTTCTCTGCTGGTAAGGGGACTGATGGACAGAGCTGAAGACTGGCCTTAGGAAAACTGGGACTAAGGTCCTGGGGATGGGAGGCAGGAGTTGTCCTCTGACCAGGCAACTGGGGCAATGGGCAGGGTGCCCACATTCCTGCCCCCCTGGCACTCCCCCAGGCTCACCCCTCACGACTGCAGATCCTCATGGCTGTGGTGCAATACCAGACCCGCCTCAAGGAGCCCCGCCGTGGCCTCTGCACCTCCTGGCTAGCGTCCCTGGACCCTGGGCAAGGTTACCCTGCTCCCAGGGGAGGTGCAGCCCAGGGCTCCCATCCCCACAACCACAAACCATGGCTTTGAACCCTCTTCATGCCATGTGTCCCTGCAATAGGACCTGTCCAGGTACCCCTGTGGGTGCGGCCTGGGGGCCTGGCCTTCCCAAAAACACCGAACACACCTGTAATCATGGTGGGGCCTGGGACTGGGGTGGCTCCCTTCCGAGCAGCCATCCAGGAGCGTGTGGCCCAGGGCCGGACTGGTGAGTACACAGGGTTCCCAGGGCAGGGCCATGGCCAGGATTGGCCCATGTGAGCCTCAAGGGCCTATGTCCAGATTTGAGACCACCCTGCATTTCTCCAGGAAACATCTTGTTTTTTGGCTGCCGCTGGCAGGACCAGGACTTCTACTGGGAGGAGGAGTGGCGGGGCCTGGAGAGGAAGGGCTACCTGACCCTGGTCACGGCCTTCTCCCGGGAGCAGGTGTGTATGTTCGGAGGGGGGATGGCAGGAGGAGGGTGTTCAGGCTCAGCCCCTGCCAACCTCCTGCCCCACAGGAGCAGAAGGTGTATGTGCAGCACCGGCTCCGGGAGGTTGGGCCACTCGTGTGGGAGCTGCTGGACCACCAGGGCGCATACTTCTACCTGGCAGGGTGAGCAGGCCTGGGCTTCAGTGAGAGTGGGCCCAGCCCCTCAGGGGTCCAGCCTCATGGAGCTCTCTGCACGTGCCCCTCCAGCAATGCAAAGAACATGCCAGCAGACATCTCGGAAGCGCTGATATCCATCTTCCAGGAGGAGGGCGGGCTCTCCAGCCCTGATGCAGCGGCCTACCTTGCCAGGCTCCAGCGGGCGCTGCGCTTCCAGACTGAGACATGGGCCTGAGGGTCTGTCCTGGCAGCCCTCACCCAGTCTGATGACTGGCCTCCCAGGAGCCCATCTGGCAGCGGAGCTATTGTCATCTCCAGGACCTGTCTGTGTCCAGGATCTTCTCAGGCCAGGAGGACAGTCTGCTCCCCATGCACAGCCATACTCCTCTTGACTCCCGAGTCCACCTTGTCATCCTGGCCTCACTGCAGCCTCCATTGGCCCCTCCCCTCCCTCAGCCTGACACATAACTCTGTGTCCATTTCTCCCCCATCCTGATCACACAGGTATAAAGACCCAGGGAGGCATGGGCAGCCTGAAGGGCACCAGGAGGTCTGCTGAGGGTCCTCTGCCCTGGGGCCTCCCCAGCTTCTCCCACTGTACCCTGTAGAAACTGTTAGCCAGACACCCCCGACACCCATGGGGCTCAGGACAGGCCACTTGGCCCTGCTTCCTGAGGAGGGCCAGGCTAGTGTAGCCCCTTCCTCTCCTAGTTCTAGGAAAGCCTTGGCAATAAATGATGCCACCAGCTGGCCACTTGCTACATGCACATCCTTCCTCTGGCTCCTCCTGGGTGATCGGTGGACCCACAATTCAGAGAAACCCACCTGAGATGGCAGTGTCCCTCCCATGGTGTGTGCACGTGTGTGTGTGTGTCTGTGTCTGTGTCTTGCTGCTCAGCCCCCATTGCCTGGGTTCCCTGGCAACAGTGTCTAATCTAACATGGTGAGCACCTACTGTTTCCACTATGTACTCAAGGCTTAGAGACAGGTCAGCTAAGCTCTGCTGGCTCTGATGGCCAAGCAGGAGTGGCCAGCAGAAGGGACCATGGAAGGTGCTGGGAAGACCCCAGCCAGGGATGAGGTGTGTAACCCTCTGGGAACCTGCCTATTCCAGAGCAAGGGGCAAGGCCGGGAGTGGGTGTGGTAGGTGCTGTCCCACCCCTGGGAGGAGCCTTTGGTGCTGGGAGGGAAAAATCCTGTTGGAGGAGTCTGGTGACCTGGCAGTCTTGTCAGTGGCTGACTCAGGATTGGACATGGCTGAGGCCAGGCTCAGGCCAGATCTGACTGGGGACGGTGCTGTGTGGGCGCAGGAGCCACCGGAGCTGGCATGTCCACTGGGCATAAGCGAAGTTTACTTCCAACTTGGAGGAGGTCAGTGCTAGACCCCAGATTGCTCACCTCAAAAGGCCACACTGACCTTGCAGCTGACTATTGCCGCCACCCTGGCGTCCCCACCCTCCTATCATGACTCCTGCGCTAGGGACCACACCCTCAGCCCCACTGACTCTAGTTCTGAGTCCCCCAGTCCACTTTGGGCCCCTCTGGGTCCTGAGTGCCTGGCCCCACTGTGCCAGGTGCCAGTGAGGGAAGGGGATGGCCTCAGAGCCCCCCATGAAGCCGAGACCATATACAATGAGCCCCTGCTGGGAGCCATCTTGTTGGACAGCTGTGCCTTAACAGCCAGAGAGGAGGGGGAGGAGCAAAAAGCAGCAGGGCAGGAGGAGGAGTGCCCCATCTGCACCGAGCCCTATGGGCTGCAGGAGCACTGCCTGGCCCTGCTGAACTGTGGCCATGGCCTGTGTGAAGGCTGCCTGCATCAGCTGCTGGGTACAGCCCCCAGTGCTGACCTGGGCCGTGTGCGCTGCCCACTCTGCCGCCAGAAGACGCCTATGCTGGAGTGGGAGATCTGCCGGCTGCAGGAGGAGCTGCTACAGGCCGATGGGCCTGCACGCTCACTGCCCTGTGACACCCCCCTGCCCACTCGCCGTGGCCCTGGGCCCTGGGGCTTCCTGGAGCACCGTTACCAAATGCGCTTCCTGATGGGGCCGGGGGCTGGCCGGGGCTGCCTGCCCTTCCTGCCCTGCCCTCCCCAACTGGGTGCCTGGCTCTGGGCACTGCGGGAGCATGGGCCCTGTGCCCGCCGCCTGGCACTACTGAGCCTGCTGGCCCTTGAGCTGCTGGGGCTGGGGCTCATTGCCATGCCACTTGTGCTGCTGGGGCTGCTCCTCGTGCTCCTGGACCGCTCCAGCCACTAGGCAGAACCCTGACTACCCTGCACGCCCACATTGCCCACACCTGGGTGCTGTGGGGCCCAGGCTGAAAAATCCAAGGTTAGACCCAGAACACCGGCTTTCAATCAAGGCCTTCTGTCACTGAACCCAAGACTAGGGCTCAGGCCCACGTGGGAGCTGGCCCCTACCAGAGTCCGTGACTGCCCTGCTGCTAGGATGCCAGCTGAGCCCAAGGACACTTGCCCCCAAGGACAGTTGCTGGAGGTGACCAGCCCAGCAGGAAGGTGTGCAAACAGGGCCCTGTGTACCTGGCAATGCCGCTGGGCCACACCGCCTCCACGTGAGGCCCAGGCAAGCACAATGAACACAAAGTGAACTGAGACCCAGTGTAAGCCTATTTCTGGGAGAGGGCAGGGGCTGCAGACCCTCACCTGAGGATACCAGGTGCAAACCCTAGCTCTGCCCTGCCTCCCTGCACAGCCTTATGCCAAGCTTGAGATTTTCATTTGAAAAAGGGATATGTGCAGCCCACCTCAGAGGCTTGTTGGTGATGTGGTGGGAGATGAGAGTGTGGCCTGTGAGGGCTGCGACAAGAATGGCTCAGTAAACAGCGGCTGCAGCAAGTACCCCTGTGGCTACAATTGTCCTCATTACCTGTCTTCACCATCTGGGTGGGCTCTCCTCTGTGCCCCCTGCAAAGGTACCTTTTCCAAACCTAGTTGGTATCCTCTTTCTCATGCCATGATCTCAGCCAGCCTTGGTGTCAAGGCCATCCCCACACAGCCTTAGAAGAACCAAGGATGCGCAGGATCAGTGTACCAGGATGGAATTCACAGAGCTGACCCTCACGCAGACATACCCCGCCACACACAGTTGGCTGGTACAGAGGATACGCCTTTTCTTTGCTGGCTGGGCTGGTTCTGCGTACCTGCCGTAGAACCCTCTGTGATGCCCACAGTGGCATGCTCTATACACATGGGGATTTGCACAGAGACTCACAGTTGGGCCCAGCCTGCCAGAACTATGTGCTCACTCACAGCCTGACCTCTGTGAGCAGAGCAGGCCCACCCTGATATGCTCTGGGCCTTCCTCTGGTGACTCCAGGTTGCACCCTGTCTGGACTATAGCCCTGCACACCCGCCCTAGGCCCTAGTCCTGGGCACAGCCCCCAGGAGCAAGCTTCAGTCCAAGGAACAGGTGGGAACTTTGGCAAAGAGTTTTAATGGCAATGTTGACTGCAGCGACAGTGCCACGCAGGGTGTGGCCAGAAGCCACAGTGGGCAAGGAAGGGTCAGCAGGTTGGCAGGGCAGGGCCAGGTCCCTGAAGAAGCGACGAGCAAGGACCAGCAGGCAGCAGTGGGCAGGGGGCCACTACATGATGGAGCAGGCGGACAGTGGGTTCCGCACATGGCAGGTGCACGCAGCCCCACAGTATTGCCGGAAGGTCTGATAGCAGCTGCCCTCAGGCTCACCCCCCCACTGACCACCACTAGGGGCTGTCAGCGCCTCAGGAGGCAGACGGCTCAAGATGGACGTGTTGACAGCCAAAGCGGCTAGGCCGTAGTCAGTGAAGAGCACAGTCTCGCGGCGGCAGGTGGGACAGGAGATGAATTTGTACTTGGGGCAAGACTCATAGAGAATCTGCAGGCACTGCTCACATACAGAATGCAGGCAAGAGAGCACGCGAGGACGCCGCTGGGTGACGTTGTACGTGTGCCCACAGGTGGGGCATTCCAAGGGCTCACCACCCACTGCTGCTGCTGCTGAAGGAGCTGCTGAGGCAGTAGGTCCAGGCCGGATCACATACTGATTAACAATGACCTCGTCCGCTGGCGCCACTCGGGGGAAGCCCAGCTCTGCTGTGCTGCCCTTGCGGGGCCGCCGTGGCAGGGGTGGGGTGTGGGATGCCCCTTCCAAAGCAGGCATGTCTCCCCCACATGCCTGGTTGACAATTATCTCTGTGTCTGAGGGCCAGGCACGCTTGGGAGCCAGAGTAGGAGTGGGTCGGGGAGCAGGTGGGAAGCAGGGGGCAGCCGCTGGTAGCTCAGGGAACTTTTCAGGGTGGACGATCTTCATGGCCTCCATCTTGAGGATGACATGGGGGCCCTTCAGGCAGGACATGAGGAGGCCTGGCCAGCCACTGCCCGCCTCAGGCCCAGGGTCAGCGGGCATCTGGCTTTCTCCAGCCAGACTGAACGTTTGGGTGGGTGGGAGTGATGGGTGGGGCCGAGGTGGAGGACAGGGGGCAGCATCCTGGTCCAGCCAGGCCTGATGGGGACCCCGGCCGCCCCGTGGACTCCTAGGGGCGGCCGGCAAGATCTGGGGGGGGCAGGGCCCCCCCAGTGGCCACAGTGGCTTTTCTGGTCCAGTCCTGGGAGGAGGAGAAAGGGGTGGAGGAGGGGGAGGCAGGTAAGGGCAGTGAGGTGTGGGAGGCTGCCCTGGTCTGCAGGTCTGGCCCAGGGCCTCACCCAGGGTCTCCGGCTGCTGAGGCTGATATAGGAGCGTGGGGGGTGCTCCCCCAGCAGCCGAGGTCAGCAGTCCCCGGGCTGAGACATCGGGGCAAGTAGGGGCTAGGTGGGCCCCATGGCTCCAGGACAGGGTTCCCAGGGAAGGCAGTTAGCCTGAGCCCTGGCTGCAGGAGGACCCAAGCGGCAGGCTCCGGGGCAGGAGCAGAGGAGAGGCCTGGGCCAGGCCTGAGCTGCAGGTGAGAGACAGCGTGAAGGAAGCGCCCGATCCCACCCTGCCCTCCATCGTCACCCTCCCCCAGCACAAAGGACCAGGCACGGACCTCTGACCCTAACCTCAGCCAGGGGATCCCGACCTCCGCTAGACTAGGAATCCAGCCCCCTCCCGGGTTCCCGCCTCTGAGACCAGACCTTCCGGAGGACTGACCCCTGTTGGGTGGGAAAGGGCGACGAGTCCAACCCCCGCCCCGCCCCCGCTCACCTGCCCCAGCCTGGCGTTCCCGAGCCGCGCGCCGCCGCCGCAGAGGTTGTCTCAAAGGCAGGCCTGGATGCGGCGCCCGCGCCCGGGTCCGGCAGCTCTGGGGGCTCCCGCAGAACCTCAGGCGGTGCGGGGCCGCGGGTGGCACCCAGGGGCGCAGGACGCGGGGCTCGGTGCAGCTAGGGGCTCGGTGCGGCGCGGCGCTGCGCGGCGGCGGCAGGTGCGTGCGGAGCGTGGCGCGCTCTGCGGCGGAGGCGCGGGACCGCAGTGCGCGCGGCGCCCGCCCGCGCCCGCAGCGCCACCCCCCCTGTCTGGGGACCCGCGCGGGGTCCGTAAGGCGGAGCCAGTGTCTGGGCCGCCCCTCGGTCCGCTCTAGGCCCTCACCAGCTCCCAGGGTCCCGATTTCCCGCGCCGCCCCAGCCCTCCTCTCCTCTCCTGCCTAACGCTGGTTCTGGTCAATAACCCTCCACGAATTCTGGAATCCCTTCCCTCGGGTTGTGAGGCCCCAAGATGCTGGAGTGGGGGAGGGAGAGGATTTGCTCTGAGAGTCAGGGTCTCCGCCTGGCCCGTCAGCGCTGGGAACGCCCCCAGAGTTCAGCAGTAGCAGGCTCAGAGAGGGCAACGTGACCCCAGGAGGGATGAGTGGAGGTGGTCAAGGAGACGTCGGAAGAGTGAACAGGGCGGAGTTGGGGGTCAGGAGAAAGGTCCACGTACAGGTGGACAGACGAGGAGTGGAATTATGCAGAAAGTCAAACCGGCTGGCAGTAGGCCCTCAGAGAACACACATCTGCCATTCCATCAGGTCAGCACGTGCTGACCTGACTGCACGCAGTGCCGAGGCCCCATTCTTTTCTGCTTACTCCCCTGGCCTCCCATTGCCACGTGTTGTGCTGCCACTTCTGTAGCCAGCTCTGGGGCCTGCACTTGACCCTGGAAAGTCTCAACCCCTTTCAGGCTGCAGCCCCCCTTTCCTCTGTACAGGCCAGTCTGCGCCTGGCTCTAAGCAGAATCCCAGGCAATGTGCACCAGAGTGGACGAGGTTGGTGGTGCAGGAGCTCACGTGGGCAAACAGGCCTGAGGAGCATCCTTAGCCTGTCTGACCTGCTTTTGCCTCTCTGTAGGACCTACGGCTAGTATCTGGGCTCATTCAGCGAGAGCAGGCGAGAGAGGTGAGCAGGTGACAGGAGCACCGCTGGAGGGGCTGCAAGGGCCTTATAGGGCCCTGGATGGTGAGGAAACCAAGGCAGGCGCGACCAGGGAAGGGCTTGAAGCTCAGACTCCGCAGCGGAATGCTGGCTGACCCACCGACTAGCTCCTCACGCAGGCCGCAGGCCCCGCCTCCTGTCTATAGGGCCCGCCCACACGGAGAGAGGTCCCGCCCCATGCAAGGCCACGCCCCGAGCTGGCCAAGCCCAGCCATTCAGAGCTGGGGTGGCCCAAGCCGAGTGTCAAGTTTTCCGAACCGGGTCTTTTGGGAAACTCTTCATTGCAGGGGCTTCTGGGAAATAAAATATTTTTCGGCCTCCCTCGTCCTGTTTTGCGCACACGCCATTTCTGTCACGCAAAGGGCGGGGTCCGAGCTCGGGGGGCCGGGCTTCCTGCGCCTGCGCACTGAGCCTTTGTCGCCCACGGTCCCCGAGTCCCGGTTCTCCAGACTCGCGTAGCCGGTCGCAGGCGCTAGGTTTCCAGGGTTCGTGTTCCGGCTGGTCACCGCCCCGGGCTGACTTCTCCATGCCCCTGGACTCACCTTCCCACCCACCAGGCTCACCGAGTCCCAGCTCACAAGCCCCCATCCCCCAGGCTCACAGCCCTCCAGGTACCCCCCGCCCAGACTTACACCCTCACGGCCTGGGTTCACCTTCCCACCCCAGGCTCACATCTCCACCCCGACAAGGGCCCCCACTATGGCTCATCTCCCACCCGCCAGGCTCAGGCCCCCAACCCGTTAGGCTCACTTCCCCATCCCCTATTCCCTTATCCCCTTATCCCCTTATATCCTAGGCTCATCCCCACTGGCCTCCTGCCCAAGGTGGCCCAGTGTACCTCCCGCAGATGGAGGAGCCCAAGCTTCGGGGGTGGGGGGGTCAGGGCCTAGTGTGGGACACTGGGAGAAAACGTGTACCCCCCCTCATCTCCAGAAGGGAACTGTGCTCCAGAAATGAGCTCAAGATGTCCTTGGAGTCTGAAGCTGGAGCCACTAATTATAAAAGGAGAGATGTGTGACAAAGGCGTGTGAATCACACATTTTTTACCAGTTGAAAAAGTGGAAAACTGGCTTGGCGCCTATTGTTCAGTGGTTAGGGCACTGGCCACATGCATTGGGGCTGGTGGGTTCGAAACCAGCCGGGGCCTGGGGCAACAACAACCAAAAAAAAAAAAATAGCCAGGCGATGTGGCATGCACCTGTAGTCCCAGCTACTTGGGAGAGAGTAGGCAAGAGAATTGCTTAAGCCCAAGAGTTTGAGGTTGCTGTGAGCTGTGATGCCAGGGCATTCTACCAAGAGTGACATAGTGAGACTCTGTCCCAAAAAAAAAAAAAAAAAGTGGAAAACCCTCCAAATTGTTTATGTTCTCAAACATCCCTGGCCTACACCCAGAGTGGGGGCTCTGAGGTGTGTGAGCACCCTGCCCCACTTCCTTCCTGGAGCCATAACCTCAGGCTCACCTCCCTGGCAAGGGCCCAGGGCATGACCTGAATGTGTCCAGCCTGAGTCACCAGAGGTTGGGAGCGCCCTTAGCCCAGGCCTGTGGTGCCACCTACCTGAGAAGGAAGGGTGAGCCAGCTACTATGCTAAGTTGCTGGGGCCTCTTGAGATCTTGAGAACCTCATCTTTGAGTCCCACCCCATGGCCCCACCCTTCCGAAGGAGGGAAAAGGCACTGGCAGTCTCTCAGCTCACAGGCACGGGAACCTGGAACTTAGACGGCCAAGCAGACAGGCTGCTACATAACCACACAACCACTACAGGTGAGTCCTTGGCTGTGGGGGCTTCCCTGAGCTCAGGGGGTATCCCACATTAAGTCTCCCACTGTTATCTACCCCATCCCAGCTCCATCTCCCCCTCTTCCCTGCCCCATTCCCAGCCCCATCCCAGGGGGAGTACCACTGGGGGAAGGATTGACAGCTGGGAATCCCTCACTGTTCCCTCATACTTGGTTCACCTAGAACAGAGGGCTTGTACACACCCTTGGAGGGCATCTCGCCCATGATTACCAACACCTTGACAAAGCCAACTTTTCTCAGGGAATGTGCTTTTTCTGGTTGTAGGCTCTCAGGTGACCGTATCCCTCCACTAAGCCCTTATCTGTGTCTTCTCTGCCCATCCCTGCAGGCTGGGCCATGGACCCCCATGAGATGCTTGTCAAGAACCCATATGCCCACATCAGCATCCCCCGGGCTCACCTGCGGCCTGAGCTGGGACAACAGTTAGAGGCAGTTCCCTCCCCCACCTCTTCCTCCTTGGAGACGCAGCCTGTGCCCTTGGGACCCTGTACCCTGGAGCCAGCCCACCTCCTGCAGCCCACTGAGGTCCCAGGGTCCAAGGGCACCAAGGGGGCTATCCCCACCCAGAGCCAGCAGGCCTGGCAGCAATCCTGTAACCACTCTGACAGTGGGCAGCGCCCACCGGGACTGACCTATGCTGGCCTGCCACCTGTGGGGCAAGGTGATGACATTGCTCACCACTGCTGCTGCTGCCCCTGCTGCCGCTGCTGTCACTGCCCCCGCTTCTGCCGCTGCCATAGCCGCTGCTGTGTTGTCTCCTAGCCCTGCCAGGCCCATGACCCAGCTTCTGCTCTAGCCAGGCAGTACCCAGATGTACAGGTGGCCATGGTCACAGGCATCAACTTCTTCCAGCCTGAGATGGGCACGTACTCACCAAAAAGGCTGCCGGCTCAACCATGTCTTTGAAACAGAGCCCCAGGCACTAGCTATGATGGGACACCCTTGACTACCACCTTTAGGCCAGGCAATAAAGCAGGGTGAGCTTTGTCCTGGTGACTCTTGTCCTTTCATACAGGCCCATTCCAGAAGGTCTCCCAGGCTGGACACAACAGCCTCTGCCCCACTGTATATATGACATACACACATATGCAGCCTAATGTAAACTATGCTTTAATGTGACCAGCAGGGTTTAGGTCTGCCTAGGGGCTATGTCAGGGGTGGGAGTGTGTCCAGGCCAGGCTATCCTGCACTCTTTAGGCTGCAGCTGAGATGGAGACACCTGTCTGCAGGTCAGATGTCAGGAGGGTGCCATGTGTAGAACAGGGGGGTAGGAGCCCTAAGAATGGTCTCCAGAATGAGGGTTAGGTTGGCAGGGGATTGAGGGTGGGACTGGTGCTGGCAGGTTTCAGGGAGCAGGAGCTCAGGAGCGAGCCCTACCCACCTTGAGTCACATCCCAACCTCCCTGGGATGTGTGTCTAGTTTCCCAGGAAACATCTAATTTATGCACATCTCTGTGCTCCCTCAGGGCCAGGGCTTCCTGGAGGAGGTGGCCTATACCAGACCTTGAAGGGTCTGGGAGAAGGCTGGGTTTGTGGGGATGGGCCATGCTGCCTGGGCAATACAGCATGCCTAGGGAGGCTAGGATGCCAGGGCAGGGAGTGAGCTATGAGGCCAGCCTTGGGCACCCTGTTGTTCTAGGCAGGGCAGAGACAAGCCAGGAGGCGGAAGCTGGGCTGGCTGTGCAGGACCGACAGGTCCTGGTGCCACACCAGCCTCCACTGACGCATGGTGAGCAGCCTCACAACAGGGCAGGGCAGCTGCATGGGTGTGCTGTGGATGGGTGTGGGATGGATGGGTCATTGCCCTGACTGTGCAGGGCTCAGTGTGCCCAGCCCCCTGTCCATGTTCCATGGCTGGCCCACTCAGGTCAGCCACAGGAACCTGTCTTACCAGTCCTGAGGCCGACTGCCAAGAGGTGCAGGAGTAAGCAGGGGCCATTGGCTTCTCTCTTAGTGGGGCTGTGAGTGGTCCTGGGGCCCTGCCCACCTGCAGTCCTCCCACTTTGCTCCACTATGGTCCTGGTCACTGGACACACACTGACCACGCCTCCTGGAACCTGGGCCTCCTGGGCTGACCTGGAGGTCACAGATGGTAGGTGCCCTCCGATGGCGGTATCCGCATCACCTGCTCTCTCAGAACTTGGGGGAGGTCCTGCTTGAAAGAGGATCACCACACATGGTGCTTGAGCGCCACCTGGAGGCCACAGGCTGGCTGCTGCCCCATGACAAGAACAGGACAACTAGGCAAGGACCAAGGTGATGGGGAGGGAGAAGTCACACAAATCTATATGGACCTGCACATAGTGAAGAAGTTGCAGAGGACCCAGAGATCCCAGGGCTCTGAGCCAATGGGGAATCCTAGCAGGCTTCCTGGAGGAGGTGAGCTGAGGGCTGAAGGAGAGGCATCACCTGGGCCAAGGCAGGAAGTTTCCAGTGTGGAAGAGGAGGATGTAAGCCTAGGGAAGGGCATAGATGGGGAAGAGTGTGAAGTGGGGTTAGGGTGTGAGGGTGGGATGGGGGGAGAGTATGGATGGGGAAATGAACTGCAAGCCAAGCTGGAGCTTGGGGTTAGCAGAGTATGGGTCTGGGCAGCAGTTAGGGGAATGTGGGGGGCACCTTATCTCCTGTGAGTGGGTGGTGCTGTTAGATCCAGTTTCAAGTGCTTTGCAGCTGAAAGGGGAGCAGCCCGCCACCTGCCTGTCTGCTGACTACCTCGCTGGGCCAGTAATGCGAGACAGACAGGGAGCCGCAGTGTGCCCTGGGTCCCCACCCCCTTCTGCAGCCACCCTGTGGCTGTGCACGCCTGCCCAGTGGTGTGGATGCAGGTAAGAGAGGCCCGGAGCTGGGGAAGGCTGGGTGGGTGGGGGCCTCAGCACAGGGCTGAGAGAAAGGGTCATGGAAAGGAACTGAGCAGCTGGACAGGAGGCTGCCCATAGGAACTGGGGTGTGCACCAAGCCTGGTGTCCACTTGTCCCACCAGCTACCACCCTCCTTCCCAGATCTGCATGTACCTGTCAGCCCCACAGTCCCACCACCTGATCACCTGTGCTGGCCAGTCACAGAGGTGGCTAGGCAGGTTACAGCCATGCTGCTCCCCACTTATGCCCTCCCTGTGCATCTCCCCCAGGATGCTGCAGCCCGAGGGCCCCCCAGCCTCAGAAGAGGGTGGGACCCGGCGGATCGACTGCATCATTTGCTACTCGGCCTATGACCTCTCTGGGCATCTGCCCCGCCGCCTCTACTGTGGACACACCTTCTGCCAGGCATGCATGCGGCGGCTGGACACACCAGTGCACGAACAGCGCTGGATCCCCTGCCCACAGTGCCGCCAGAGCACACCCACACCTCGAGGAGGGGTGGCCATGCTGGACCTTGACTTGGCTGCCTTCCTGGCTATTAAGGCTGAACGAGAGCCAGCAAGGATGGAGCCCTGGCCCCTGACACCCCTCAAAGATGGCACCGCTATCACTCAGCAGCCGACTGGGCTCTGCCCCACCTTGGGCCCCCAGCCCCACTTTTCCCCAACGAGATGCTGCTGGAACTGTGGCAGCCTCTGCTGCCTGTCCCTGGGCAGCCACGAGGTCTGAACTCTGGCCATCACCACCCCTGCAGGGGAACCTGCTGCCTGAGGCAGGCCTTCTATGGAACCTCTGACCACACACAGTCCACCCAGAGCAACCTGGTGGCAGAATGTCCCAGATACAGCCTACCTGGCCCAGCATGGCAGTGCCACCCTAGCCAAAGATATCCCCAGGCCACAACCAAAGTTTCGGGCTATGAGATTTGGCTGGAGGCTGGTGACATACCTATCCTGGCCAGGATAGTCTGACTATGTATGTCAGGTGGGGACACTGCAAACCCAGCCTAGACCTGGACTCAGCTCAGAGGGTGTTAGGACACCCTCTGGTGGCCAGTCCCAGGGGCCTGGGCTATTGGCTAAAAAGGCAGCACCAGGTCAAGGCTAGTCCTGAGTGGGTCATGCCAGAGCAGGTCTTCCTCTCCTATGAAATGAGCTAGGAGGAGAGGACACCTCCTTCATCCCTGCCCTCCATGGTAGCCCTCTGATGTTCATCCACTCAACAAAGTTCATTGAATTCCTACTGTGTGTCAGGCGCTGTTCTGGGAGGGTTCTGTGCAGGTACAAGGCCAAGGAGAAGGCTGTAGGCAAGGCCATCTCTGAGGCCCTGAGAGACCTGCCTGGTCAAACAGACCAGTTGAGCTGATTCTGGCTGCCAGCAGCCATGACATAGACCCTTCAGGGGGGCCAGAGCAGGCTGAGGTGCTGGCCCTCTAGTCAGTGCTGCAACACTCCCTCCCTTCAGGAAGGAGCTGTGGCCCCTGCCAAACAGGGGTGCAGGATGGGAAGGAAAAAGAAAATTTGCTGAGCAGACACTCAGAATCCTCCTGCTTCTATGGGGCAAAGTTCTCCAGGCACACAGCGACAGCTGGGCAGACAACAGAGCAGGAAGCTTGGCATGGGCTCCCTATGAGAGCAGGACTGGGCAGAGGAGCTCTTCTTCCTGCCATCTCAGGAGCAGGAAGGAGGCTGATTCCCATAAGGAGCACCTCAGAAGGTCAGGAGAAGGTTGGGCAGTGTGGCCTCCTCTGCTGGTCACCACTAAGGCTGGGCTCACAGGCAGCCCTGTTGGCTCAGCCCTGCCCTGAACCTGGATCTGAACTGGCTGACCTCAGGGCGGGTGCCTTCCCTGGCTACATGAGAAAGCTTGTGCTCCCTGCCCACCTAATGCAAAGGGCTTCCCTAGCACTTTCTGTTAGGGGCAAAAACAACCACAATAAGGTCTCCAAAAAAGCTCTGAGGAACAGAGAAGGCAGTGGGCAAACTTTGTACAGCCCCCCCAGGTGGCCCCAGCCAGTGCACCAGCGACCTGCCCTGCACAGAGTGGAATATCCATGAGGTCATACACATGCCTGTTTGTGGATGTCCAGGACTGAGGGCTGCTGGCCAGCCCTGCAACCCCCCTGGACTGACTTGGAGCCCATTGCTGGGACAGAGCCCACTCCAAAGAGATTGGCTCAGGGCTCAGAACTCCTGGCCACAGGGGGAACAGGGACTGGACAAGGCTCAGGGGGCCTTGGGCACAGGGGGTATCCCCTCGGGGGCCTCAGCTCCTGGGTAAATATTAATGGGGCTCGACACACAGCAGGTCATGTGCGCACTTAGTGGATCTTTGACCTGCAGCTGTCCCGCCCTGTGTCTCCTCCCTGCAAGTGCCCCCTCACCACCTATACAGGTAGGAGCTTCCAGAACCAGGCTGGGCTCAGGGACCCTGAGGTGACACTGAGGCCAGGGCTGGGTGACCTTCAGGGGTTAGGCCCTATCCCAAGCCTCCAGGGTCCAAGGGCAAGACAGACCAGCCTCGGGGCAGCAGGAGGGAGAGGAGGCACAGAAGACCCCTGGTCCCAAGCCTAGGTTGCTGGGAGGGAGTCTAAGCTGAGGCTCAGACAGGTAGGGGTCCAGACCCAGCGAGCTGCAGAGGCAGGTGCTGCCAGAAGGGGAGCCTCAAGGTGAGGTGGGAGCCCAGCCCCCTACTGTGCTCCTCATCACCCTGGGGGCGGGGGTGGGGTGGGGGTGGGGCCCTTATCAACCAAGACATAACGCTTCGGTATCAAATGCCAAAGTCTAAGCTGGGACCATCCACAGTGTCCTGATGACACCCGATAGGAGAGGTCCCCGGGTTTCCCAGCTCATGGCCACTTCCGGCCTACGCCCCAGCACCCTGTGCCCTGGGCCACCCGCCAGGCCTTCTCCCAACCAGGACCAGTGAGGGAACTCAGAAGCCAGGATTCCCACAAATCTGCCCCTGAAACTGGATTAGGCTCACCTGACAACTGCCTGAGGCCATTGCAGCCATCCCTCTGTGGATAGAGGAAGGGGGGAGGTTACCAAGGCAAAGGTCACGGGTGAGTGGGCCCCAGGACTTGGGGCCTCAATTCAATTTGGTCAGGGCGGGGGCAGGAGATGTCTCTGACTTGTGCATCTCCCCAGCAGATAAAGCTTGGGCCTAGGTTTGTCCCTGCCTGAAATCCATGCCGAATTCCCTCCCTGGTGGCCAGGCCCCCCACCCTACTCTGGACACAGTTGATCTAGTGGACCGGAGTCTGAGAAATGCAGGTACCTGGAGTCTCAGTGCCTCAGTCCTGGGCCTGCCTGCCCACCCACCTCTCTCCAGACAGCTTATGCTGGGCAAGGAGGGGAGAGGACCCATTTGTCTCCTGGAGCACTCTAGGGGACCAGGACAATCCTAGCCAGGGCCAGACAAGCAATAGTCCTTTGGACTTCACTCCAAGCCCCTTATGCTTCAAGCCCTCCCAGCCTGCCCCACTTCTAGGGGGGGTCCTGGAAATAGTCCTACTTGATTCCCCCTGCAGGGACCGCTCATCTTGCCCCAGTCTTGGAAGAAGAGGCCACAGATCCCTGGGCCCTCCCTCAGCTGAAGGACACTAGCCAGTCCTGGAAAGGTAGGTCTGGAGCAACATGCCTGGGAGCAGCATGCCTCTGACTCCTGGGCCCTTGGGAGGAGAGAGCAGGGCATGGGCTGGCCTAAATAGGCCACAGAGAAATCTACCATGCAGGCCAGCATCTGGGAATACCTACACCCTGCCTTGCAATAAAGAGCCACCCTGCCTGCCCTTCCTGCTGGGGTTATGGCTCTGGCAGAACCCAGGGGCTGTTGGCTGTGCCATACTGCAAAGGAAGTGGTGGGGGACAGAGGATGACCAAGGCCTTGCTCAGGAGCATAAGAGAGGAAAGGCCCAGCTCTGCCCTGGGGGCTATAAGGAAGAAACAGGTCCCTGCCCTGGTGGGGGAAAGGAGGAAGGGGCCTGGGAAGGGTGCTGGGCAGGGTGGAGAGCTGGCTGAGGACAGTCCTGCCCTGTGTCCTCAGAGCTCAGCATGGCTGGCAGGCTGCGCCAGGTGGTCATAAGCTTTCTCAAGGCCTGTGGACTCCTTGGCAATCTCTACTTCTTCATCTGCTCCCTGGACATCCTCAGCTCTGCCTTCCAGCTGCTGGGCAGTGAGATGCTAGGCGGACAGCCAGGACAGTGGGGGGGGGGGGACAGCCAGCCTTCTACAGTCTCAACACACCTCTTTCCTGGGCACAGGCAGAATGGCTGGAGACATCTTTAAGGACAATGTGGTGCTGTCCAACCCTGTGGCTGGACTGGTCATTGGCGTGCTGGTCACAGTCCTTGTCCAGAGCTCCAGCACTTCCTCCTCCATCGTGGTCAGCATGGTGGCCTCTAAGTGTATGTGCAACCTTCCTTGCCAGGGGGGTGGGGTGTGGGGTGGGTCAGAGGCTGACTCTGCCACCCCTCAGTGCTGACTGTCCAGGCATCTGTGCCTGTCATTATGGGCGTCAACGTGGGCACATCCATCACCAGCACCTTGGTCTCAATGGCCCAATCAGGGGAACGAAATGAGTTTCGGAGGTGAGTCAGGGATGAGAGGGTGGGCTAGAGCTGCAGGGGCAGCCAAAGCCAAGGCCAATCCACTCATCAGTCCATCTCTGCGGCCACAGGGCTTTCAGTGGTTCAGCTGTGCACAGCATCTTCAACTGGCTAACAGTGCTGATCTTGCTGCCACTGGAGAGCGCCACAAGCATGCTGGAGAGGCTCAGTGAGCTGGCGCTGGGTGCCACCCGCCTGCAGCCTGGGGCTCAGGCACCTGACATCCTGAAGGTGCTGACGCAGCCACTCACACACCTCATCGTGCAGGTGAGGACGCCTGAGGTCCTCTGCCTTCGTGCCTGAGTGCACTGGAGTGGAGAAGGTGGAGGCCCAGGGTCCAGAGGGGACAGAGGAGTGTCTGGGACCTGCATTAGGATGGGGGAGAGAAGAACAGAAGTGGGTGGGATGGAGCTGGGCCCTGTGGTCATCTGAGCCCCAGATGAGTCCTGAAGGAGTGTCTACCACACGGTCAAAACACCTCTGTCCCTCAGCTGGACACCGACGGGATCATAGGCAACACCACCAAAAGTAGCCTCATTAAGCGATGGTGCGGCACCAAGGAGCAGACGGTGAGGTGCCCTTTCCCCAAGCCCTCACTTGACCTCTGACTCCCTGCCTGCCGAACTGCCCATCCCAGCCCTCTTAGAGTCCTGAGCCCTTCGACTTCTGCCTGCCCATTGAATCTGCCCTGAGTCCTTCCTGACCCCTCCCCCACCCAGGGGAACAACAGCGAATGTGGAGCCTTCGGCCTCTGCACCGAGAGGAACAGCTCGACCCCAGAGGACCGGCTACCCTGTGAGGCCGGGCCCGTCCCTGCCCCGCCCCGGCCCCGCCCCGCCCCGCCCCGCCCCGGCCCCGCCCCGGCCCCGCCCCGGCCCCGCCCCACCCCACCCCGGACTCATTCCGACCCGGCCCTTCCCCGTTCCACTCCCTGAGGTGCTCCAGCACCCCAATCTAGCTCCACCCCCAGGCCGGCGCTGCCCCGCCCCTGCCCGGCCTTTCCGTCCCCCAGCCTCACGCCCCCCGCCCCGCCCCGCCCCGCCCCAACTCAGGCCGCCACTTGTTTGCCGGCACGGCGCTGACCGATCTGGCCGTGGGCTGCATTCTGCTGGCCGGTTCTTTGCTGGTGCTCTGCACCTGCCTGGTTCTCATCGTCAAGCTGCTCAACTCGGTGCTGCGCGGCCGGGTCGCCCAGGCGGTGCGGACGGTCATCAACGCCGGTGAGGTGGAGGGGCGGGGCCTGGACGAGTAGGGGCGGAGCGGACGTATAGGGGTGGGGCCGAGCTGCCATCGGCCATGGGTGACCCAGCCGCCCTCCCCCAGACTTCCCCTTCCCCTTCGGCTGGCTTAGCGGCTACCTGGCCATCCTTGTGGGTGTCGGCCTGACCTTCGTGCTGCAGAGCAGTAGCGTCTTTACCGCAGCCATAGTGCCCCTCATCGGTGAGCTCAGCGGGCAGTGGGCATCTGGAGGTGGGGATCTGGGCTGGGGCCCTGTGGTCACCCCTAACTCCCCCAGGGGTCGGAGTGATAAGCCTGGACCGGGCATACCCTCTCTTCCTGGGCTCCAACATCGGCACCACCACCACAGCCTTGCTGGCTGCCCTGGCCAGCCCAGCAGACATGATGCTCAGCGCTGTCCAGGTACTGTACTGCCCTCATCCCCCAGCCCCCAGTTCCTCCCTACTCCCAGCTCCGGCCTGGGGGTTTCTTCTCAGGTTCAGTCCCCTTGTGTCCAGCGCCCTGTGGACAGAGTGTATAGTGAGGCTGTGGCCCCAGGTTGCCTGTGGCCCTAGCTCTCTTTGGACCCCTTCTCTGTCTCCAGCCACAGACCTGCAGCCCCACCTCCTCCGACTGCACAGACCCTGCAGGCATCTCTCAGCCCTTACCCTTGCACCTTTTCCCTCAAGACCTAGTAATATAGGCTGGGCGCCGTGGCTAATGCCTGTAATCCTAGCACTCTGCGAGGCCAAGGCAGGTAGATTGCCTGAGCTCAGGTTGGAGACCAGCCTGAGCAAGAGTGAGACCTCTCTCTAAAAATAGCTAGGCATTGTGGCTAGCTCCCTACTTGGGAGGTAGAGGCAAGAGAATCACTTAAGTCCAAGAGTTTGAGGTTGCTGTAAGCTATGACCAGCATAGTGACAAAGACATATAGAGAGTGACAAAGTGAGACTTTATGTCTCAAAAAAAAAAAAGACCTAGTAATTTTCAGGTTTTCTCAGCATGTGGCTCTGGGCCACCCCCATGGTCTGTGCCCCTTCCTATTTAGCATCCCGCTGCCTCCCCTGAGAGACCCCTGCTCCTCCACCCTTCACTTGTGCTCCTCACCACCTCCTCTGGAGGCTGACCCCAGCCTTGGAGGCTCTGAGCTCCTCTATTGCACACCACCAGGGTCTCTCTGCCTCCATTCTCTGCTCCCTTTGTGGACCAGCCACCTAAACCCAATTGCCCACTTGGACAGTGCCCACCTTCCCAGCCCTTGTCTAGAAAGGGCTCCTCCCTATCTGTGCTGGGTGCCCTGATGATATCCTGGCCATGACTTTGCCTCCAGTATGTCTCTCCCATCCCCAGCCCTCCAGCTGGATGCTCCACACCCAATTTCATTCAGTCCTGCTTGTTCTATAAAACACCCCCACCCTCCATGGTCTGCTACCCTGGTGTGCGACAGGTTAGGCTCCTGAAATCCTGGATCACACTAGGTTGCTAATCACGAGAAGGGATAAACCCAGCCTTCCTGGGCTCCTACCCGCATCCTTATCTCTGCCCCAACTCTGTGCAGGGTCCTCCTCCATCCCCTCCAGAAAGCCCTCCAGGCTTGGCCTGCATACAGATCCCTCCAAGTCTGGCAGCCCCTGGAGGAGCTTTGTGTCTACCCTCCCCCCCACCCCAGACCAGCTGATGGTCCTGTGCCTCCTCCCCACCAGATCCCTGGCTAGGGTAGCAAAACTCACCTGGGAGAGGAGCGGGCACAAGACTTAGGCAAAGCTAAGTTCATCCAAAGGAGGGAGCAGTCCTACTGTAGATCCATGGTGCATAACCCACAATCTGTGGCTGATCATTCTTGATGTCAGTGATGCAGTTACCATGCTGGGGTGACAGACTGTGCTGCTGCCTCCTCCAGAGTGTGTGGGAGAGGGGGCTGTCAAAGGAGTGTGTCCATACATGGCTAGAATCTACCCTCCCAGGAAGCCTATGTCATTAGGATGCCGGATGATCTTTGGGTGTGGGCCCCTTTCTGCAGGGTGCGGGGAGGTGGGCAGGGGTCCTGGGTGGGAGGTGACCCATTCCTGCCCTGCCACCCTCAGGTTGCCCTCATCCACTTCTTCTTCAACCTGGCCGGCATACTGCTGTGGTACCTGGTGCCCGCCTTGCGGCTGCCCATCCCACTAGCCAAGCGCTTTGGGGACTTGACTGCCCGCTACCGCTGGGTAGCCATTGCCTACCTGCTGCTCAGCTTCCTGCTGCTGCCCCTGGCAGCCTTCGGGCTCTCCCTGGCCGGGGGCGCAGTGCTGGCCTCAGTTGGGGGTTCTCTAGTGGGGCTAGTGCTCCTAGTTGTCCTGGTTAACATACTGCAACACCGCCGGCCAACCTGGCTGCCCCACTGCCTGCGGTCCTGGGCCTGGCTGCCCCTCTGGCTCCACTCTCTGGAGCCCTGGGACCGCGTGGTGACCCGCTGCTGCCCCTGCAGAGCCTGCAGTCCCCCGAGGGTCAATGACAAAGAGGGCCACTGCTATGAGAACCCTGAGGTCTTGGCCTCCCAGCAGTTGTGAGGAGTGAGCACCATAGCAGACCACCCTACCCCTTACTGAGTTCAAGAGGCCAGGCTCTGAAGGAGGTGCCCCAGGAGGGCAGTCCAGCAGCAGCAGAATTTTGAGTCACCTGCTTCCCCTCCTGTGCAAATAAATCAGGCTGTTACCCAGGTGTGATGGTTTCCACTCCCCAACAGGGAGGGTGCCTTGGCTCCTGCTCTGAGGGGAAGTGGAATCAGAGCAGCCTGTGCCCCCTGGTGGACACTCAGGGCCGGCTGGGTGACGTGTAGGCAGAGGTGACCTCACCAGCCCCAGGCTGACAGTAGTGCGTTTCTGGCCCCTGGGGACAGAGGACAGGAAGGAAGGAACTGCGGGTCTGGGGGTTGGAGACTTCCCACAGATAGAACAGGTGACCAGTCCCTGAACACCGGAGCCACTGAATGAGCACAACGGTGCGGGGCAGCCGGAACTCATGCACTGCGTCCTGGAGCCTTCTGCCCACTGTGGGTATCACGGCTGGGGGTGGAGCCTGGAGTCCAGCCAGATGCATGGGGGGCATGAGGAGGGGACAGGGGCGGTGAGAAAGGCTGGGGTGTCCTGAGGCTTCCTCTCCCAGTTCTGTCCCTCAATGTCTCTTTGGGGGATGGGGCCAGGCCAGGGTGGGCAGCCTGTGACTGGGGTCCCATGGGGAATGCGAACTTGGCTTCTCAGGCTGCTGGGGGTACCCCTCCACTGGGTTGGAGCAGCCTGAGCCTGCCCCAGAGGATGAGAAGGCTTGGGGGGGTGACGGGGGTGGAGCAGGAAGGGAGCGGCTGCCACCCATGCCCAGGCCCTGGGGCCGGTGAGGCGCTCCCCCTCCTGCTGCAGTGTGGTCAGGTTTCCCCACAGGAAGGCTTTTCTGCTGGCCAGTGGGTAACCGGACACCCGGGAAGCAGCAGCAGGAGCCGTCTGCCACCTCCAACCCAAGGCGGCTCTACCCTACCCCGACCTCAGAGGCCACAAAGGAAAGAAACCTTTGGGTCATTTCAGAACCCATGCCTTTATCCAGGCATGCACAGACAGATGGACAGAGGGGCTGACCTCTGTAGAGATGTGCCTGGTTTGTCCCTTTCTTTCTTTCTTTCTTTTTTTTTTTTT